TCAGCAGCACTCATGTATCTTAAATATTCTTCTCCTGGATCTATGGACCAGGGAAAAGTTTCTTCTGTTTTTTATACTAATGTGGTTCCTATGCTCAACCCCCTCATCTATAGTTTGAGGAATAAGAATGTCAAAGCTGCGCTGAAGAAAGCTCTGGTTAACATTCAGAGGAAAAACATATTCTAATTAGGAGCAGTAGAAATATAAAGAAATTGAAGGACTTCAAATTTTTATTGGTGTTTTTCATGAGGAGATATTGTTCATAACTTTGTTGCTTCTACAGATTGTGTTATGTGTGATTTAGTAGACTTGTCTTATTCCCCTTACAGCTAATCTTGTCTCATTTTTTGTTTTCATATCTTTTGTGCTTCTCACAAGTTTACTAAATAAGTAACAGCATGTTTATAAAAGAAACATATGCACTAATATTTTTTATTATTGTTTCATACCCTTTCCGTCCCCTGGGCTTTTATTGTCTGGGCAAATTATGATGAATTTTGTAAACTCAAAAAAGTAAAAATTATAGCTTTCTCTTCAAAACACAGAATTGCCAAATATGATAGAAGCATTCTCATTTTTATCAATATTGTTATTTGTACAGGCAGCAAGATTCAATGAAATGTTTTCATTACAAACTGTGTATAGCTTAAAGCAGAATTAGGTCCTCTTGATCTTGTCCTTTTGTTCTATTTAATATTGCAGAGAATACATATAACTCCACCTTTTATTGCCATAGCATGAACAGAGGATGATGAAAGAAATAATACATGTGTCTCAGGATTCCAATAAGGGGGGAGAAAGTTTACATTAAAAAACTTTAACTCATGACTAGCTAAAATGGCATCAAAAATTTTGAAAAAATAACATATAGTTCCTATTGTAAATGCTCTTTTTTATTCTTTATAGGAAAAGACTGTGCATTAAGTTAGTAGAAATATTCTAGCTAATGGTTTATTTATTCAGTGGGGTTTACAAAGAAAAAATGTGCATTAATGATAATAAACTATATTCCTACAAATATTTTGTGTGTTACTTAAACTTTTGTTTTACAACTAAGACATGAAACATATTTAACATAGAAGTCGTTTCTTATAATTCATCTCTGTTTATTTATTTAGGATATCAGATGTTTGTGAGATCAAGAAATACTTGCTGAACTGGAGTATCTTGTTAGATAACACCAATAATACATTTATTATTATAAATAATAGTTAATAACATATAATAAATAACAATCATAAATCAGAAGAACTTTGGGGCTTAATTTCCATTTTTGGAGGTGGACTGTGGCAGCCTTAGGGAAGTACTACTCAGCTCCCCTTCAAGACAACCAGTATGGGGAGTGCAGTTGACTGAAAATCTATAGCTGATACTTCTTTCAGGTCCGCCATGATGTTCAGGCAGAGTTCATACTTACTCTGAGATGCTCTCAGCCAATGACTTAGCAGAGTGGGTGGGACTTAGTTAGAGCTGGCCAATTTCTGTCTAACATGGGTCTCTTCTGACAAGCAATCTTTGCTTAGAGACTTCCTATCACCCTAACCAAGACTTTTTAGAACTGTACTGTGGTCTGAGATTTTCCTACCCAATCCTCTTATTTCTTTCTCCTTTCTTAGGTGACAGACTTTCATCATGGTCTGAGGCCTTCATCACGGACTCTCACTCCCTCTCATTTTATCTTTTATGGGCATTTACTAAAATAAATGTGGTACAAGTCTAATCAATTTCCTGGTATCTCCTTCTTAAGGGACGCTAAATGACAAAGAGGACTTACATTAACTGATTTTAAAATTTAGTAGGTTTTGATTAGCATTTACCTGATGATTAGTGACTCTGAGCATTTTTTGGTGTTTATTGGCCATGGCTCTATCTTCTTTTGAGAAACTCCTGTTCGTGTGTTTTGTTCACTTTTTAATGGGGTTGTTTGATTTTTTTCTTGCTGATTTTCTTGAGTTCTTTGTATATTCTGGTTATTAGTCCTTTATTGGATATATAGCTTATGAATATTTTCTCCCATTCTGTAGTTTGTTTGCTCTGTTAATTATTTCCTTGGCTGTGTAGAAGCTTTATAATTTAATCAAGTCCCACTTACTTATTTTCGTTGTTGCTGTGATTGCCATTGGGGTATTCTTCATATATTCTTTGCCTATGCTGATATGCAAATATGGTATATGTATACCATCGAGTACTACTTAGCTATGAAAAAGGATGACTCAATGCCTTTGCAACAATTTGTATGGAATAGGAGACCATTGTCCTAAGTGATGTACCTAAAGAATGGAAAAACAAACACCACGTGTACTCACTATTAAATTGGAACTAACTGATGAGCACAAATGTGCACAGAAGGAAGAAAATCTCAAAGAAAATCAAGCAGGGGGACAGGAGGAAGAGGGGATGGGCGAAAACCTACCTAACGGGTACAATGAACACTGTCTGGGTAATGGGTACACTTTTAACCCTGACTCAAGCATTATAAAAGTGATCCATGTAACCAAAAGCATTTGTACTCCCATAATACTTTGAAATAAAAATAAATTAGTATAAAGCTATGATAAGACAGGTTGGTTTTGTTATGAAGATAAGTGAATAAATCCATGGGATAAAACAGAAGATTCAGAAACAGGTCCTCACTCATACAGTCAATTGATTGTTGATCAAGCAACAAAGTAAATTTATAGGGAAAGGAAATACTTTTAAGTAATTGATGCTGGAAATACTGCCTGCCCTTAAGGAAACAATGAACCTTGGTCTCTACCTCACACCATACAAAAAAATTAATCTAAAATGGATCAAAACTATATACAAAAAAACTTAATCTATAAATTTTCTAGAGAAAAACCTACAAATGTATGTTGGTATAGACATAGATTTCTTAGACATATTCTAGGAAGCACTAAATTGAAAAGAAAAAAAAATAAACTTCATTAAAATAAGAACATCTATTTATCAAAAAATATTCATAGGCAAACCACAGGCTGGAAGAATATTTTAATAATTTCAAAATATTGTGTCAGAATATACATATATAACAATTTTATTAAAAGATACATCGATAATAAAAAAAAACCCATTTCATAAATGGGAAAATTTTTTTAAAGAGATACCCTAAAGGAATGCATGCAAATGGC